ATGGCCGCCCCTCGTTCTCAAATAGCGTAAAAATATGGTATATTAAGGTTGTGGACCCTATAGAGGTCACAATTTTTATCCGATTTTGTAGAAACTTAAAATGTAAGTTTATAATCCAAAGATCTTGGTTCCTTTCGATATTTGCGTATATCGAATTGTAATTTCCTGAATTATGGCCCTTGATTGTAGGAAAAATCACTTTATTTTTAGCTTGTTCTCAATACATCTCTCGAAAATGTGGGCGTATCCTGCCTGGCAGCCGCTGGTTTATTTAGGATTTCAAGGGTGCTGACGACGAAAATCGTAATAAATGCACTCCTTTCATAACAAAACATCCACAACACATACGGCATAATATTCAAATGATAGTGTTATACTGAAGAACAATCTATACATTAGTAGTCTGTTGTGTATATTATACCTTAGTGCCAGCTAGTGGTCAGGAGATTAAGATTGATGATTGGATAATCATCAAAGAATCCGCCACAGCTGTACACGTGTTTATTTAACACGTGAATTAAAATAAGATTTTGCTTGTACGATAGGTCTATTATTTTCAGGTACCGTAATGTTATCAAAATATGAGTCCCTACAGAAATGTCAATTTCATAGTCAAGAAATGCTTACATTCACTTTCGTACATTTTGGCTTTGATGTAAATATCAACATTATTCAGAGGATACTCAATGGTAGGGTGACCCACGCACCTACAGAAATACAGTCAACCGCTAATAGTTCGAGACTACCACTGAAGCGTGCACATTCGCCGTGTCGAGGCCAACTTTCTGACAGTATGATACTATAAATAGCCATGGCACGTGCAATTCTCTACAAATCTATCAACTATTACAGCCGTAAAAAAATTATTGTTGACGATTTTGAATAACAGTAAAATTAAGCTTCTTGGTTATTACAGCAGATTTAGAAATTACGTTCGTTTCATTTTTTAAATCGCTTTATCATTAACTGTACCGTTAAGAGCGGCATCTTTTGGTTTAGTACAAATAATATCTCAGAAACACTCGGGTTAGACAGGAACATGATACTAGCAGTAGTTTCATTTTACTTTTACAAGCTTCTTAAAACAATTGTTGAGCTAGCTAACGTGCTCATTTCTAAATTCAATTTCTTGTTCTAGCTTTCTGTTATGTTTCGTAAAAAAGTAGTCTTGATTATCCCGACCTGTCAATCAGCCCTAGAATGGTCGATAGACTGGTTAAGCGAGACTAATTTCAAAACAAGGGCACATAACCTATCTTTTACTCAAAAGTGTCTGGATGTTATGGACGACACATGGATCCAGTTTTCAGTCTATTATTTATACATGATTAATGGTCATAGCTTATTAAGTACAACATGATCGTTTATTTAGTGACTATAATTGTGTGAAACTGATTTGAGGCTTGGCATATATATAAATATTGTGGCGAAATTGTCGAGATATATGGAGATATTTATTTATGGTGGGTCACCCTATCAATGGCAGAATATTTATCGATAATGCCTTGCACATGGTGTCTGGACCAATCAGCAAACGAGTTGAGTAGACAGCATGGCAACAGGCGGAGTTTATTTATATTTTTTAGGGGTATTAAAACTCGATTGCATCCGTTCAAAATCAATTCATCGACAATATTTTGATCATATTTGTAAACTAGAGATGCTCTGCTTTACAACGATGCCAATTATTATTCAAGAGGAATGACCGGTCGTCCCGCTGCGAGTGAAGAAAAATAACTAATTTCGCCGAGAATTTTAAGAAATAGGACAGATTTAAGAATATGGTACTCTTACAAAACATTCAAATTAAGGCTGTGCAAAAATATCAATATAATCGATAATCGGTAGAAGTTATTTAGCGATACGATAATCGATATTGAAATTCAAATATTGATTATCAGTATATTTACCTTCTGACGGCAAGTTACGGTCACTTTCACATGACTGAACTTGCCGTAGTCTGGCATGCAGACGAATGAACGAATACACAACGTCAACACAACAACTATTTTCCCCCTCTGCTTACAAACTGGCACATTTTAAATATATATTATTGTAAAAAAAAACTAAACTTTAAGATTAAATACATTATTTTAATATTTTCGTTGTTTTTATTGTTATTACTAGTTGAAACTAAAATAGGTCACGCACTTTGTGAACAATGACGATCGCACGTGATATAGTAAAATTAGAATTATCTCCCTTCTTTGCTCTTGATTGATTTGTAGAGAAATTGTCTGCTTTCACCATAAAACTAATTGTATTATTAATGATCAACTCAGCTTTTATTACTAAATCATGTCAGATACAGCCCACGTTTTTGACTTCCCGGGAAAATATCTATATCTCTCGTAATTTCTTGGAAGAATTCTACTTTGGTTTTCGTAAAAATTAACCAATCATAAAAATCCTACTTTGAAAGCCGGTAATTATTTTTTTATTGTCCAATCAATAGACGCCTTCTATTATATTTTATTCTATTATTAGTAACACTGTGTGATCGCCAGTAACTTGCAAAGAGAAACCATGTATTGTCTTTGTATTTATCGGAGATATTGGAATAAAAAAAAGGTTCAAATGAATCAAGAACAAAACTTAGAATAATACTAAAGTTAATCCTACATTTAGCAACTAATTATTTTACATTAATTGATTTTTTTACGTACATCGGCACAGTATTAGACTAGGATAATAACACTACTGTAACTCGATCAACACAAATAACAGGTCGGTAAAGTTCGGTTTTTCCGGAAGAATGATTGATAATCGATTATTATCGATAATCGCTGACAAATTCTTGCCGATAATCGATATTGAAATTTCATATCGATTCCCAGCCTTAATTCAAATATAGGTGTTTTAAAATGTTTTATTGCTATTTTGATCTTTTGTGTCGATAGATAGTATATTTATAGAGTGATTTTTGTGAAAATCTCAATTTCGATCAAAATCAATATTTTCACTTATTTTGTCTTTATCTCATTATTTTTTCGTGCGCATTTCGACTCGTTTAGCTGTGGCCAGTCACATATCACCATTCCACCATAATGAAGGTTGAATTAGAATTTCGGGAAAATCGAAATGAAACTGACTGACAAAATGGCCGTTTTTTGTACGGAAATTGTGTATAAGTATGTAATACAAAGGTTATGGGCCCTCTAGAGGTCACAATTTTTATCCGATTTTGATAAAACTTCAAACGTATCCTTATATTCCAAAAATCTTTCTGGATTATGGCCCCTGATTGTTCAAAAAATCGCTTTTGTTTTTAGCTTGTTCTCTATCCATCTCTTGCAAAATGTGGGCGTATCCTGCCTGGCAGCCGCTGGTTCAAACTTGCTGGGATTGGTTGGTTAGAAATATGGAGGGCTGTAATCAGATTTAAAGATACAAGATAATCTTACGTGGACCTATTGACACTGTCACAAAACCTGGTATAAACACTACATATTTTACAGCTTAGTCATCAGTCAGTTCACATTGTTTGATACACCCTATTTCACGTGACTATATTATATTTGTCACATTTGACCGTCATCTGTCCACTCTGCTCAGTCCGTCTGTTAATACGTCAACAAATGGCTTGTTACCCAAGATAATTACTGCCAGAGTTATGGCCCTTGATCACTTTGAAAAATCTTGTGGACGCTCTAGTGTCTAAAGTTAATATCCGATTGACTTTAAATTTATACACAGTGTTTAAGGTCATGAGACGAAGAGGTCTATTCATTTTCAGTGATTTTCGATAATTACTGCCAGAGTTATGGCCCTTGATCACTTCAAAAAATCTTGTGGATGCTCTAAAGGCTAAAGTTAATCTCATTGACTTTAAATTTATACACAGTGTTTGAGGTCACGAGGCGAAGAATCCTATTGATTTTCAAAGATTTCTGATAATAACTGCCAAAGTTATGGCCCTTGATCACTTTGAAAAATCTTGTGGACGCCCTCGAGGCCAAAGTTAATATCCGATTGACTTCAGATTGATACACAGAGTTTAAGATCTTGAGGCGAACAAGTATATTGATTTTCAATGAATTTTTATGACTTGGAACAGCTAAATCCATGATACAGTATTAAAAGTTTTGTATACAAAACGTTAGCATGGGGCAGAACTTTATAAAAACCAAACAAATTCTAATGGTTTTCTGAGTTGTTGCTCTTAATAAGATTTTAGTGTATTATAAATGTTTCATTACCGAAAAAAGTAAAAATATGTGACAACTCTTGTTGACTGCCCGGACGATTTAGCTGCTGTGGGCGTATGTTTCGTTGCCTGGCAACCTATCTTTATATTTTACACTGACATTTATTGCTTTAAATCTCTCTAGTGCTAAAACAGAAAATTTCACCTTTTGACCTCCAGGGTCACAAAGAACAAAAGTGAATTTAGCAAGTTTACATTTTTATTGAATTGGTGATTACTTTCAGTCATTTTCAGTTTACTTTCACGATACAAGAATGGCTGCGCATTCACTTTCCGTGCAAATAAACTCATTTGACCTTTGACCTTGAATATCTCGAAAACGCCCCAACGGCGGACTGATTACCACTTGGCATGGTATTCTACGGAAAATTTTACTGTAGAAAAGTTGGGTCTGGTTTTGTGCCCATTTGATGGACACCCCTCCGCACTGAGCCTCCAGACTATTTTAAAAAGGATGATACCTAATGATTTTCAACCAATTTCAATGATCATTTTCTAAATTACTTCCCTTCAATACTAGGAAATTCTATGTCATGCAATGTTTTGAAACTTTCATTTGAAAGATGATGCAAGATGGATTTTCAATAAATTCCAATTAACATTTCAAAGTTATTCCCCAGGTTATTCTGCTATTATTAACTTGACTAGAAAACCGTGTAAACTATATAAAGGCAAAGTTAATTATTTTAATGTGGTGGGTGTATATTTAATTACCTTGCAAGTTTTCCCTAATCATCATCATGGACAGACCAAATGAGGGTGTGGTATTAACAAATGTGAATCTTTCTTTCAGCCACAGTACATGGACAGGGTGTTTACTTTGCTGTAAATTCATCATATTCTGTCAATTATGCAAGACAAAATAGTAAAGGTGAGCGTAAAATGTATCAATGTAAAGTATTGGTTGGAGATTATACACCAGGAAACAGTGCTTATAGAGTTCCGCCAAACAAACCCGGCACCACACAAGTTTATAATTCATTAGTAGACAATACTTCAAACCCTTCAATGTATATTATATTTAATGATACACAAGCTTATCCAGAATATCTTATAACATTTTGAAGTTTTAGTATATATGAAGGATTTGTTAAAAGAAGACATGTTCCATGCAAAATTAATTTTAACATACCGTTTTTTTAATCTTGTACTTCAACTTATATTTCAGTTTTATCTGAGCTTTGTATCTGAAATTCTCAAATAATATAGAATGTTTTCTGTAAGCTTTTTACATTTTACATCTAATTACTGTATTACAGAGAGTTTGAAACATTGGGTTTCAAAATTCCTGTATTTGTAGTTTTACCTAGATGGTGATAAATGATCAAAATGTATATAATTTATTTGAAGAACTTGTTGTTATATTTTAGTGAATATATTTATATTCTCACAAACTTAATGTAGAAATGGGATTCTGCAATTCAGAATTATCAGTCTTATTATGTTTTCATCTTTGTCTAATGACATTTCTTTATAAGCTGCATTGTGTGTGATTGGACGACTGGAGATCTAAACCAGTCTAAACCGGTGATACAGAACATTCCTTGGAGTCATCTCTTATAATAAGCCTTGTTGTCTTGATAACCCGACTTAGTTACATGTAATACAAACAATTTTAGTATGCAAGAAATTTAATTTTCAGACCTATTTGAGAAAAGTTGGAATTTGTTGGATACAGTATAATAAGCTGTAAATTGATATGATTATGATTTTACATCATGTATAGACTGCACATGATTTGTTTTATGAATTATAACATTGCTTCTGAATATACTTCAAATCAAATTATTTTATGAATGCCGATTTTTCATTAGCTGAGAGTTAAGTAAGGTCTAGAATATGCTATGACAGAAAGTTAAAATTCTAGATTCTTAGCCAATGAAAAGTCAGTATGTTTTAAATATTTTAGTTAAAGTTTTTGTAAATAAGGCCTTATGGTTATAAAAAACATAAAAATCAAGAATAAATCCATTAGTTTTGTGAATAAGACCTTATGGTTATAAAAAACAAAAATAATTTCATTTACAATACATATCTCCTCTTATTTTATTCTAGATTCCAATTATACCTGCTTATACCAATATAAATATTGAGTGTCATCTTGAATATATACTCAGAATGTTTCTTCACCCCCATCCCTCTCTGTTTCCTACAAATTCCACAAAAATGTAGCTGATTTTAACTGTTCCTTCATCATGACCACATACAAAATAAATGTAACATTAAAAGTACTGGTATCAATTGATAAAAAAAATGAGGCATGTACAATGTGACTGCTGTAGTATTTTGATGTAACTGAAATGAAAAGTTGATACATTGTCATTATAGTTCATGTAGGACTCAAAATATCTATCGTCATTAATACTGATAAATATTTGATAAAAATGTAGCTACTTACCCTTTTTATGTCACCCCTGTCAGTCATTCACATTGTACTGTGAACATCTACAGACTACATTTATTGTCAGATCTTTTTTCAAATTTATTTATGTTATTTATATTAGTGAGACGGAGAATCCTATTGAATTTCTGTGCTGCTTGAGCTATGGCCCTTGTTTCGCTTTGTACAATCTTGTCAACACTCAAAGCACAAAGATATTATCCGATCTGTATGCGATTTATGGGACAGAGAAGCCTATTGTAAATTGCTTTGAGTTATTGCCCTTGTTTCAATTTGTAGAATCTTGTGAAGGTTGTAACATAAAATTGATATGCATTCTTCAAATTAGCGAAATGAAGAAGCCTAATTTCTAGAGTTAAAGCTCTGAAGATTTTGATTTTTATTTACCCAAAAATTCACAATGTGACAACCTTTATGTACTGCTCGGATGGTTTAGCTGCTGTGGGGTTGTTTTATTTATACATCAATACACAAGAAGTTTGGCCATAAATAGATATCAACTGGTCAAGCTGATTTCCTAAAAGTTTATTAATGAATTGCCTTTAAATGTTCTCTGTATGTTAAAACACCTATTTATTATTGGTCAACCTTCCAGTGTATCAAATAGAACTTCATGATAGCATTCCAGTTATTGCACGTACTCACTTTAACTAAACTTATGAATGCTCTAGAGATGTTGCAGCCAATTTAGCTTCACCCTTTTTACCTGTTAACTTTGTTAAATCATGTGAGTAGTCTTAACAACAAAATTTGTCATCCAATCATCTTGGAATGAAGCATTTTACTGATTAGTGAACAATGCAGCCTATCAGATTTTGACAATTGTCATTAATTACTTCCAGAGTTATTGTCCTTGCTCACTATGTAGAATTTTGAAGAATGATACAACTTCACATTTATGTTTTGATGTTATACATTTTGTACATATATACTTTTATATATATATATAACTATGCACCATTTTAAGTCCAGTGTTAACAGGTTAACATAGTCTTTCATTGGTGTAACACACTTATTCGTATTCATATTTATTCAGTATACAAGGCCATTGCCCAAAGTACAATGTAATCATAGATTATTTAAGTTACACACAATATATGTACAAACAAGTTATGTTAATGCAATTGAAATATTTAACTCTTTATAGTTTCATAGCATTGTGTACAAATTTCGCAAGGTTACTGCTGGACTTGAATTAACCCATTCTCTCATAGAATTAAAAATTGAGTGTTTTGACAAGATTAGTGTTTACACTAAATTAGCTTATAACTGTTTGCCCAAATTTTATATATCATATATTTTGTAAATAATACTGTTTACTCACTACACTTTTTTTATTTATTTGTTTAGCGTTTTCCGAGATTCTACCTGGATTATCGCCCTTATTGTTAAATTGTTTGACGTTCTCCCCCACCCCACCCCCAGTGACCACCGGAATTTGATCCAGAACTGTTTTGAGAACAATACAACCAGCCAACTTATTCCGGAGTCTGTCATCAGATGCGGATGCAAGAGTGACATACTATGTAGTACACTTGCTTGTGGCTGCACTAGGGATGGTTGCAGCCAGAAACACGATTAAGGGATTAAACTGAATATTGCCTAGTTTTGTGGGGGATGTTTTGCGGGTAGAATTTGTTTTTTTAAATGTTCAAAAAACAGACTGTGCCCTTTTCAGGGCCGGCCCATGTTTTCCTGGAACTCCTGATAGATATGTATGTACATTATTTTGCACATTTTCATGTGGACGTATATTGTTGTCGCCCCTGTCCGTCCGTCCACAATTTGTTTATGAACACTCTACAGGTCACAATTCTTATCCGATTTTGACGAAACTTGAAATATAGGGTTATCTTCAAAAGATCTTGGTTGCTTTCGATATTAGCATGTATCAGATCGAAACTTCATGGATTATGTACGAAAAATCACGGTTTTAGCTTGTGGACCCTATAGAGGTCACAATTTTTATCCGATTTTGTTGAAACTTGAGATGTAAGTTTATAACCCAAAGATCTCGGTTCCTTTCGATATTCGCACATATCGGACCGTAACTTCCTGAATTATAGCCCCTGATTGTACGAAAAAATTGCGTTTTTAGCTTTTGGACCCTATAGAGGTCATAATTTTTATCCGAATTAAAAAAACGTACTATTATATCACCGTTACACCCTAAGGATTTAAAAAAAAGTACTATTATATCACCGTTACACCCTAAGGACACCTGAGTTCGAATTTCGTGAAAATCGGCCCAAGACTGACAGACAAAATGGCCGCCTTTCGTTCTCAAATAGCGTAAAAAATATGGTATATCAAGGTTGTGGACCCTATAGAGGTCACAATTTTTTTCTGATTTTGTTGAAACTTGAAATGTAAGTTTATAACCCAAAGATCTTGGTATCTTTCGATATTCGCGCATATCGAATTGTAATTTCCTGAATTATGGCCCTAAATTGTAGGAAAAATCACTTTCTTTTTAGCTTGTTCTCTATCCATATCTCGAAAATGTGGGCGTATCCTGCCTGGCACCCGCTGGTTAAAAAAAAGAAAAAAAAGGCATACATATCGTTAATATTTCTAAATCATATATTTCTGCTATCCCTTATACACTTGGCCATTACACTTGTATAGGGTATGTCTGTCTTCATTATCCCAGTCAGAGCAGAACAAAATGAAATGAAATGGAGTTTAACCTCCTACTGTTGTGCTCCGACTGGGCTAATGAAGACAGGCTTACACCATTCAGTGTGTTATGAGGGACATTTTGCCCGGACAGCGGCGCTACAGCCTACTCTTATATCGATTTTCATCTGTCAAGGGATGTTTTACATGCACGCCAATGTATACATGGGACCTCGTTTTTTTGTACCAACTGTCCTTGTCGATCAGGCGCTCCTTCCTGCACACCTGACAAGGGGAAACCACACTAGTTCAGTGGCTGAAGAGGGGAATGGGATAATATTGACATAAATGATGATCACGTTGAATATAACATAAATTTCTAGGACTGTCCATCGCTAAATTGATGTATATGATGCCCCAGGACATCATGTTGGTTTATGTTTGGGGACAGAAATCATTTGGTTCAAATTGACTTTAAATATGGCTTCTCCTTACCTTTTTCGTTTAGTACCAATTTCGTCATAATTTTAATGGTACTTTTAAAGAGATCTGGAAATGTAAATCACACAGTAAATCAGAGACATGTTTAGATACTAGTTTATTCTTAGTCTTTATGAGAAGATTCAAAATCAAAGTTCATAATATGGGCGGGATAAATATCTTCTTGATGGCTGATCAACAGCTCGCATATATCCTTTGGATATGCTTTAGACATTCACATTGTCAATCTTCATTCCAGCCATGCATTGCAGGGTCATCTTGTTCGACCATTGGTTTTGCAGCATGTCTCCATAATCATGTTAAATAATCGATGCGTTTAATGTGGAACAAAGGACCACAACGGCAAGGTGGTAATAAAGAAAGGTCTGTTATTTTTTCACCCATAAAAATCTTTCTTCTAGCGTCATCTACCGACGTAAGGCACCTTTCTCGCTTGCCCCTGTCATCATCGAACAAAATGTGTATTTTTGGATCATCGCTTGCGAGGAGAACGACCGGGATGTCTATTTCGCTCGAGCAAGAACGCAAAATACAATTTATTTCAGCGCCTCCATTATTTAGCAATGCAATAATGAGTAAGTATTCTATTTTGGTGTCCTCATGGTTTGTTTTCAGTTCTAGGATATTCTCGACATTTTCAATACTAATCTTAATATCTTTTTTTGATCCAATCAAGATTAGTATTGAAAGTGTCAAGAATATCTCGGCCTACATGCTTTCAGTGGTAAGGACTATGTGTCTTTCTTTTTCAAGATAATTTCAAATTTCTAACAATTTTTAAAGAGCTGGGACAGACAAATGATGTTTCTGATGACGTAATTGCTGGCTTAGAAAAATTGTTTGTACTATGTTCGGCGAAAGGCGACTTACTTCAGTAGATGACACTAGAAGAAAGATTTTCAGGAGGAATTTTAATCGTGATGAAAAAATAACAAACCTTTCTTTCTTTATTACCATCTTGCTCATATTATGAACTTTGATTTTGAATCTTCTGATGAAGACTATAAGAATAAACTAACATCTAACATGTCTCCTATTTAATGTGGTTTTTATTTACATTTCCAGATTTCTTGAAAAGTACCATTTTAATAGTTTAATATTTTGAATGACGAAATTCGGAATCTACACAAAAAACTGTTCTAGAAAAACTTGGTCTCATAAATTCACAGCTCGGGTGGCGATTCCCCACCCCACCCCTTCAGCCACCGGACCACACCGGAAAATCGCGAACTTTCTTGGCCAACACCGGGAGCGAACCCGCGACCTCCAGGCTAGCGAGCCAGCGTCTTACTCACTTAGCCACTGTGGCTCCCAGAACAGAACAGTTGGACGTTAAACCCCATTCCATTTCATTTCATTTTCCTACTTTTCTGCACCAATCGGACTAGGGGGGTTGGATGGCTGAATGGTTAGCACGTGCGCGCTGTATCATAAAAGTCTGTCCTTGAGTCAACTGGCGTGGTTTGATTCCCCGGTTGTACGTGACAAGGAGTAGGGTCCCCTGTCCAACTTCATGGGTTTTCTCCGGGTCCTCCTACACTGCTAAAGACCCTTACGCTCAAGCGAATTATGGAAATAAAATTTAACCATGTGTTAGTCCCGAAATGACCTAGTTTGTGTCGAGTGGACTTTAAACCCCATTTTTCTCTCTCTCTATTGAAGATAGGCATACGCATGCAGAGAGAAATGATGGAAATTTCCAATGGACCGGGGCATTTCTTCATCGAATTTCATCTGTGAAGGATTCTTTTATGTGCACGCCAGTGTGTACACAGGAGCTTGTTTTTTTGTCCCATCTACCGACATGGAGAAACCACGCTGCAAAATACCGGGGACCTTTCTTGACCAACACCAGGATAAGTGTACATAATCATAATATTGAGAGGAATATGACCGACATCACGACATTTTAACCCGACAATACAAGATTTTTACACCACATTACGACATTTTTTAATGTCGTGGTGTCGGGTGAAAATGTCATATTGTCAGGTGAAAATGTCGTGATGTTGGGTTAAAATGTCGTGATGTCGGGTTGTTGCCTTATGAAGGACGAAATCACGACATGATACCAATCAGCCACCATACACATATGCTCCTATATCCAGAAATATATAGTTTGTCTCTAGATATAGTTTGGGTTGGAGAAATAAGGGCCCCCAACTGCCGCTTACCACTTAAAGGGTCATATTGTCTGGTATTTTGGATTTCACTTTACTCCGCCAAATTAAATACTTGACACTCAGGATTTTTGGGACTAGATTTTTAATATTTGGTTTAAGGCAACTATTTTAGTGTTATGTTGTGCACAGACGACCTTGACATCAACAGAAAGCAAGAATACGTCTCGCCGAAAGTCCTTGACATTGATAACGTTCGTGATGTCACAGTACCCCACAAAATGAAATTCACAGACTTGGAGAACAATCGGAATAAAGTGTTTAGTAACGGTTGTGGCCTCCTCTAGCGTCTCGTACTGCCACACGTCTTCTCATGGATCTCAGAACATTAGTAAACACTACCCGAGGAAGACGTCGCCACTGCTCAGCAAGAGCATGTTGAAGGTCCTGCAACGTCAGTGGTTGATTCACTTGCTGACGAACACGTCGACCCAGATGTGTTCAATAGGATTAAGGTCGGGGCTAAGCGACGGCCAATCCAGGACTTGGACACCGGCATTTCTTAAAAAATTCTGGGTAGCAATTACTGTATGGGGTCGAGCATTGTCTTGTTGAAACGTTAGTCCATGCCCATGTCTCTGCATAAACGGAAGAAGAACAGGTTGCAAAATCTGATCCCTGTACTGGACAGCATTTAAGTTCCCTTGGACAACAACAAGAGGAGAACGTCCATGTGCACAAAAAGAACCCCAAACCATGACGCTGCCGCCACCAAATGGTCAACTTCTCTGACGCATACTTGAGCGTAATGTTCACCTCGTCTGCGGTACACTCGGACCTTGCCATCGGCAAATCTCAAAGTGAATTGAGATTCGTCACTAAAGACAACCGAATTCCACTGTCTTTGAGCAAATCTTATGTGTCTCGTGGCCCACACAAGTCGGTTACGGTGATGAAGAGGTGTCAATATTGGTCCATTATAGGGCCTCCGAGTTCGAAGACCAGCAGCCTGCAAGCGATTTCGAACAGTTTGTGCAGTTACCCTTCCACCAAACATCTCTCTACTTGTGGAGGTTGCAGTGACAA